TTTTTTTTTTTTTTTTTTTTTTGGTAGGAGCCTTCTTAATATGTGACCTGATTAAATATAATAACTGCCCAAAAGAGTCAGACTGCAGCTTAAGGTGAGGGTCCTTAGATGGCTGTACTTTGTCTTTAACTTCTATAAGACAGGTCACTTTGTAAGAGCATCTCTGAGAATTTGACATTAGTAAGATGTAGAATTACATAAAAGAACTTTATAGAACAGTAGTGAGTGTTTGCAGTAGTAGTTGTATAGCTGGGTCTTTTAAAAGAGACTTTGGATTTGAGAATTTCCTCCCTGCGTGTGATGTCTTGTCATCAGGCCACCCCACGCTGCCTTCTCGGTAGTCCTTCTCCTCCCCCATTTTTTATTTGTTTTTTGTTTGACAGTATTTCATACAGAAGAAAAACTGTGGGTAGATTTCAAGCTGTTGTGTCTTTTGTTGGGGGACTGTTTTAATTTTGGATGATTTCATTTTTTCCCTCTTGTTTACATTTCTCGTTTGTTTCATAAAACCAGGGACAAGTCACAAGAGATACAAAGATTCCAAGTTCTGTTTTGTTTGTTTTTAATGGTATTTTTTATTTGTATTTTGCTTAGTTCCTAGAAATTTACAGAGCTACCTTTTTATCTTGGTGAAGTTTGATCTTTAAACTTTCTTACCAAAAATCATACACTTTAGGACAGTGAAATGCTCTTGTTTTCAAGCCTGATGATCTGAGTTTGATCCTTGGACCCTATATAATTGAAGACAGAAACCAACTCAGGTTGTCCTCTGGTCTCCATGCATATGCCATGGCACACACGTGTGCATGTGCATACACGTAAATAAAAACATAAGGTTTTGTCCTGGCACTAACTCTGTAGACCAGGGCTGGCCACAATCTGCCTGTCACTGCCTCCCAAGTACTGGAATTAAAGGTGGGTGGCCTGATCCTCTGGCTCTTAACAATACCTCCACCTCATGAAATGTTCCTGAGCTTTAAACTATAGGGGTCATATTATATTAACTGGGGTCCAGCACCCATGGCCATAGTAGGTTTTCAAGGTTCCTTTCACCACCCATAGGTAGTTGACTGAGTTTACAGTGCTAAGCATGAATTCCCTCTAGTAAGCAGGCTTTAAGTTCGAAGTGACTGTCAATTCATGCCAAGATGTGAGTGCCACTATTGCACCTTTAGGATTGTTTTGCTGTGCTGGTCATTATTGTGACCTGTAGACATTGTAAGTAGCCAGCTAGATCTACTTACTTCTTTGCTTTCTCCCTTGGCAGCTTTTATAGCTCCCTCTAATACTATGAGAAGCCTTCCCAGTCAGATCCAGATTATTTTCTCCAAGTCCTGTATCCAGAGCATGTTGTGTCTTTACCAATACAAAAGTACCTGCTTTACTTGGAAGGCACTAAGGATAATGGCAATAGCATATATCGTTTTGAGGAGGAGAGTCTCTTAATTTCCCCTAACTAACAATTTAAAAGTAGGTTTTCCATGTCTAGCGTTGTTGTTGTTGTTGTTGTTGTTGTTGTTGTTGCTGTTAGATAATAATTGGTTTTGGAGTGGGGAACATTGTCACCCCAAGTGGCCTAACTTAGAGAGAGAGAGAGATAGCTTTTTCCAACATCCTTGGTGTTATTTGTCCCTCCTCCTTTATAGCAACAGTATCCTACTGTTCCCTTTCTAAGGCTCCTGCCCCCACCATGGTCCCTTTTTACTCCCTGGTTTCCATAGTTACTCCAGATTGTATCATCTAAGATCTAAAGATTTGTTGCTAGAATCTACAAATAGGAGAGGATATGCAGCATGTCTTTCTGGGTCTGGGTTACTCAGTATACTATTTTCTTGTTCAAGTATTTACCTGCAAGCTTGATTTTATATTTCTTTACAGCTGAGCAAGTATTTGTATAATACAATGGACATGGGTCATACATAACAGTTTTAGGGTTTTGGAGGATTATGCTGTTGTTTTATTTTGTTGCTTTGTTTTTAGAATTTTCCAAAGTGATTTCCAGGGTGGGTGCATCACTTTGCATTCCACCATCAGTGAAGTGGAGTTTCCTGTCCTCACACCCTCATTGTCATTTGTTGCTTGTTGTTTTTAACCTTTGCCATTCTTTGCATTTCCCTGCTTGCTAAAGATGTTGTATACTTTTTCAGATGCTTCTTAGCCATTTTAATTTCTTCTTTTGAGAACTCTATTAAGATCTTTAGTCTACTTTTTAATTGGGTTGCTTGGTTTTTTCTTTTTGTTTTGTGTTTGTTCATTTGTTTGTTTGTTTAATTTTATGAGTTCTTTATATATTCTGGGTACTAATACTCTGTAGGGTGTATAGCTGGAAAAGATGTCTTCCACTTTCGGGGCTTCTTGTAACTGTTGCTTTCATTTCCTCTGGACAGATGAGGTGATAGGCATCCTCAAGCTATTCGAGTACAGTGTCTCTGTTCTAGCTGTCCCTGGGTCTGAGCCTGACACTTCCAGCCTCACAGTGTCTCTGTTCCAGGTGTCCCGAGTCTGAGCCTGGACACTTCCAGCCTCACAGTGTCTCTGTTCCAACTGTCCCTGAGACTGAGCTGGATACTTCCAGCCTCACAGTGTCTCTGTTCCAACTGTCCCCGGGTCTGAGCCTGGACACTTCCAGCCTCCATAACCTTCCAAATCTAACCTTCCAAGAATACTGATTCAGTCCGACTTCTCTTGGCTTTTGTGTGAATTTCTCTACTTGGTCTCATACTAACTTTGGCAATAGGATCTAATCTTCTGGCTCTCTCTCAGTTCAGATAAAGCTGCTTCCTTCTACAAACTAGCCTTACCTTCATTGTTAGAGATTAGACTAAAGATTTATCTTTATTCCAGCCAGATCATAACATAATCCAGCATGTCTATATTTTGGCCAGATCATAACACCTAGAAGATCTTTGGATGTGATCCCTTGCTAAAGTAGCCAGTCTGCCGGATTAAAATTTGTCTATATTTCCTCTTCACATAATTAATTGCTTATTTTGCTGTAGGTAAGCCTTTTAGTTTTATGAGATCTATGTGTCAGTCATTGACTTAATTACAAACGGGGTCCAGTCTGAAAGTACTTTCCCACTCCTATATCTTGAAGGTTACTGTGGTACTTTCTTCTAACATTCTCATGGCTTCATTTTTTCCCTTCTTCCCTTGCGATGTCCAGGCACTGCTACACACCTACTGGGGAAGGATGGAGTGGAGCCAAGTTCCATGGTCTCTGTCTTCCCTTGGGCTGTCTAGGCCCTGATACACATTGGACAGGAAAGGATGAAGCAAATACTGAAATGGGTGGGTCACCAGGATCCCAGTCCTGGAGTGAATAGGGCAGGGGTCTCTAAAGATTTCAGTGATCTAGCTCTCTTAGATGATAGTCAGTGAAACAGCTTGTGTGCATATGCTTTATTCGGGGAATCAAGGGATATATACATATGAACCCCTGAGAGAGGGAAGGGGTTCTTCTTAGGGTAAAGTATCATTGGCTGAGGTTTAAGGTTCTTGGGGTACTTATTTGCATGGAGGCATTCCAGGAAGTTGAACCTGTAATTTCTCCAAGGACTACATGACATTCCTCAGGTAGGAGATTAGAATCAGGCTTCCCAGATCAGGCAGAGAAGAGGAAGCCCTGCTAAGAAGTGGGAGTCTCCATTTTGCACCAAGCTCAGGAAGGCTCTCTGGACATGATAGACTACAACTGTAGTAGCCAGGTGCAACATAATCTTGAATTCCCCATTTTCCTGCCTCATTCTTCTGAATACTGGCATTTCAAACATATTCCATCACACTCAGCTACAGTCAAAAGAGCTCTTTTACACTTACGTGTTTTGTCTGCATGTATGTCCATGTACCACATGCATGCTTGTGGAAACTAGAAGGGGGTTGTGGGGGAAGATCAAATCTCCTGAGACTGAAGTTACACTGTTACTGAACTACTACCATATTGGTGCTGGGATGTGAACCTAGGTCATTGCTGCCAGTGCTTGTAACTAATGAGTCACCTCAGCAGTCCCTGAGGAGGTCCTGCCTGAAAATAGTTTTTGTTACTAACACTTTGTATGAGTATAGATGTTGTCTTAGCTAAGATTTTATTGCTATTGCCATGACCATAGCAACTCTTATAAAAGGAGAATAGTTTCAGAGGTTTGGTCCACTGTTTTCAAGGCAGGAAGCATGGTGCCACTGAGGCAGACATGGTACTGGAGGAGCTGAGAATTCTACATCTTGATCCAAACACAAAAGAAGACTGTCATACGGGCCAGACTTGAGCTCATAAGACCACAAAGCCTCCCCACAGTGACACACTTATTCAGCAAGGCCATACCTCATAATAACGCCACTTCCTATGGGCCAAGCATCCAAACATATGAGTCTATGAGGGCCATTCCTATTCAAACCACCACAGATATGATTAGCCTCTTAAGAAGAAATAAGATATAATTGATAACCCTTACACTTTGTCTCATTTGGGAGTTGTTTGGTTTTGCTGTTTGGCTTTCACTAATGTACTAAGTGTAAGTGTAGTTCTGCATTCCTTGGAACTGAGGCCTCACTGAGGGTGGTGATTCCTTCTGGGTGCTGGGACTCCAGGCATGGAACATGAAACACCATATCTCGCTTTAGCATGTCTTGAGATTTACTAAAGCACATGGATGGATGGATGGATGGATGGATGGATGGATGGATGGATGGATGGATGGTTGGTTGGTTGGTTGGTTTGGTATGGTTTTTATAATATTTGGTGACAGGTTTTCTCTGTGTAGCTATGGCTGTCCTGGATCTCACTCTGTAGACCAGGGTTGGCCTCTAACTCAGAGTTCCCACCTGCCTCTGCCTCTTAAGTGTTGGGACTAAAGATGTGCAAGCTGGCGGCTTAGCACATGATTCTGTTTGTTTGGACCATGGGCTTTTCATGTGTGCTATATGTACTTGTTCATATGGAATTGTGTGTGGATGTACACGTGTGTGTACGTGTTTATGCGGCCAGATACTGGATGTTGATCACTCACCACCTTACCTGTTTGCATCAGGGTCTCTACTGAGCCTGGCGCTCACCTATCTGACAAGACTAGGTACTCGGCGCCATACTCGCCTGTCCACCAAACAGTTTCAGAGAACAAAGGAGAGGTTTTATTGTTTTTTTAAGGTCTATTTTATTTTTAAAAATGTGTACAGGGTGTGGGTGGGTGCTTGGTGCAGATGACCTTGGAGAGCATCAGGTGTAGAGCTGGAGTTACAGCTGTTATGAGTTGTCTGATATGAGTGCTGGGAACCAAACGTGTCGTGAAAGAGCAGTGCCTATGCTTAACCACTGTGCCATCGCTCCTGCACCTTTGTTGTTTACTTTTCTGTCCAGCTGGCCTGGCATTTACTGTGTGTGCAGTGCTGTCCTTGACCTGGTGCCATTCCTTTTGTTTCCTGGAATTATAGGCATCCACCAATGCTCAGCTGCCTTCTGGTATTAGTTTAATTGTATTTCCATTGCAGCAATAGAAGACATGGCTAATTGACTTAATAAACACCACTTTGTCTTTTTCAGGGCAAAGAACAAGAGCATACCTTTGTCTTTCGATTGGATCATCCTAAAGCCTGCAAACACTTGTGGAAGTGTGCTGTGGAGCACCATGCCTTCTTCCGTCTCCGAGGACCTGTCCAAAAGAGCTCTCATCGATCAGGGTTCATTCGACTAGGATCCCGATTTAGATACAGGTTCATTTCCCTGAGTTCTCACATCATCTACTCTTGCATACAGGCCAGAAGAGTTACTCTAACTCTTGATTTTACTCAGGCAGAAACCAAGACACAGGAAATAAAGTATGTTGCCAAAGATATCCATTGGCCAACATTGGCCAAAATTTTTAAAGAAGAAATGTTATTGTTAATAATTTCTTGACTAAATGGGAAATCAGTTATATTATTGATATTTATATTGATATATTTTATATATAATAAGCCACAATTTAAATTTATGTAACAAGGTAAATTCTCCATCTGACAAGCTTTATCTCATACAGACAATGTATGGGACATTAGTATGACTAGTACTGTGGCTGAAGACCACTTGGCTTTTACCAGCTTCTTTGTCATGAAGTAGAAATGTCTGTTCAGGTTACATTTGAATATCGGGTCAGTTTGAGTCTTCAGTTAAAGGGGGGATGAGAGTGAAAGTAATGTAACAAGTCAGCCACAGAGAGTTCTGAAGATCATTTCTATTCTCCAGTGTCAGAAATGCTGAGGGGTTCTTTAGTTGGAAGCTAAAGAAGTACAGTAGTGTCTTTTCAAGCATATCTAGACATTTTTTGTGGAAATAATCACAGAACAGATATCCAAAGTTGGGGCTGAAGATGTAGCCCATTGGTAGAGTGCTTGCCTAGCATGTGTAAGGCCTAAAGTTTAGTCCACAGAACCACAAAAGAACTAACTGGAAATCTTGTTTTGGATTACAAACTTTATATTAATTCCTATGGCTAGGAAAGGAAAGAGTACTTCCCTGATAGCATGGGCATTTTCCTCTGGTTTATTAGGTGACATATAGGTATTTATATAGGTGATATATATGCTTAGAAGAAATCCTATATTATTAATGTTATGTATGTTACCAAAGCCTGGAGAATAAAAAAAAATTAGATAAAAAGGAGAAAAAACAAAACTATTGATGGCCTTCAGCATGCTTCTTTGCAGGATGAATGTAGACATCTTACTCTTCTGGGTCTGGTTGCCTCATATAATATCTTCCTGTTGACTTGCTTCAATTATTTTAGTGGAAAAACAGAGTATCAGACCACAAAAACTAATAAAGCAAGAAGATCAACCTCCTTTGAAAGAAGGCCCAGCAAGCGGTATTCTCGGCGAACCCTGCAAATGAAAGGTAAAGTGCAGCCCTGCTCCCCAGGCTTGTCCTTCCTTGCCAGTCTTCATGTCCTCACACTTCCTGTTTGCTGGAGAGGAAGCTGCCTGAGTCTTCTCAAGTCTATTTTAGTTGACTAAAACTATCTTTGTACGACTTTCATACTGTAACTGGCTGTCCTGTGACTGGCTGACATTAAACTTAATAGCAATCTCAGTGCCGATGTTCTGGGCAGTGTTGCACTTAGTGTATCTTCACTAGAGTCTCTCTTGTGTCTTTCCATCTTGTGATGAAATGCCAGTTGGATTTTTTTTTAATATTAGCATGTAATGAATACATTTAAAAAATTTTTTATTTCTATGTTTGTGCATGTGTGCACATGCAAACATGCATGTGTGATGTTTTATGCACCTTATGAAGGCCAGTGCCCTGGCCTGGAGTATAGGCAGTTGTGAGCTGCCTGGTTTGGGTACTGAGGCTTTTGAAGCAAGACCTCTGGAAGAGCAGCAAGTACTCTTAGCCACTGAGCCATCTCTCCCGGCCCAAAGAAGTTTTCAGTAAAATTTTTTCCATATTAGGCTGGTAAGGTGGCTTACAGGATAAGTGCACTGTGCTACCAAGTCTAATGGCCTGAGTCATTTCCCAAGACCTACAAAATGAAAAGGGTTATCTTCTGATGTATATACACACATACACATACCATGACATGTGTGTTTTCACACAAAAGACACAGACAATAAAACAATATAAAAATGAGTAAATGAAAGCCAAGCGTGATGGTGTATTCCTTTAATCCCAGCACTCAGGAAGTAGAGACAGGCAGATCTCTGTGAGTTAGATTTGTCTCTACAAAGTTACTTTCAGGACAGCTAGGACTGTTACACAGAGAAACCCTGTCTTGAAAAACCAAATAATAATAATCTAAAAGTGAGTAAATGGTATTCTTCTCCATATTACAATTTACTGTTGAGAAATCCCACTAAATAGAACTTTATTTATCAATGTCTGTCAGGCATAGATATTTGCAAATTCATAAATGTTATCTGTCACTTAAGATATTTCAACTCTGAAAGAAGTACATAGATTTCATTAAAAAATAAATTAAAACTTGAGTTTGGTTCCAAGTTTGGACTTCTGCTAAAATACAAATTGAATTTTAAGCATGTCTGCTGTCAGGTTATTATCACCCTTATCAAAAGTCTGCCCTGAGATGACTGTGCCAGTGGTTGTTTTGTTTGTTTGTTTGTTTGTTTGTTTGTTTGTTTGTTTTATTTTTTTATTTTTAGTTATTTTTTTCTGACTGATATGTACTCAATTTTTGGCATGGTTGTGCATTTAAATATATGGCTATAAGTTAAAATAATCCAGTGATAGTTTAAAGCCTTATTACTTCATCTTTCTACTGACAGAATTCAGAGTCAGTTGTCTTAATCCAGGAGACTTAAAGAAAGTTAGTTTAAAAGACAGTTGTGAGCTCATAAGTGAAGTTTTTTGTCACTAAGCCTGACCTGGGTTTGATCTATGGGGCCCAGGTCATTTCAGAAGGAGAGAATGGACTCCCACAAATTGTTCTTTGACCTTACGCATCCTCTGTGACACTGACATGTACACACAGAAATACATTTTTTAATAGAATTTTAAGACGAATAGATGTTGGGCTAGAGAGATGACTCAGCAGTTAAAAGCAAATATGCTCCTCCAAAGATTCTAAGCACCTGTGTCAGACAGATCACAGTCGCCTATAACTCCAGCTCCAGGGAAATCTCACACCTCTTGTCTTCACAAGCACCTGCATGGTGTGCATATGTACATACTCACATACACGAATTTTTACATAAATCTTACAAAAGTAGAGTGCTAGAGAAATGGATAGCTCAGTAGTTAAGAGAACATTCTGCTTTGGCAGAAGACCTGAATTTGGTTCCAGCACCCACATTAAGTGGCTCACAGGTGCTGGTAGTAGTCCAGCTCCAATGGAGCTGTCTTTGGAGCTCCAGGTATACTGCACTCGTGTGCACATACACACTCAGGTCCACAGAAATAAAAGTAAAATCTTAAACACGAATAGACACTCAGAGTACTTGCTGCCGTTGGCCTTATTGCTCCGACCTGCAGTGCAGCTTATGGCTGAGAAGTTTATTTTTACAGAGCAGCGAGTCGAGGTTTTACTTTGAATAGTGCATCAATTTGTCATGCAGAGTGGACTAATAAGATGTTATCTCTTCTCTTCTGTCAGCAAGCACAACAAAACCTGAAGATCTTGGGTAAGTCATGCCTTTCAATGTAAGAACTGAGAAGATTTATATAGTTGCAATCATTAATTAAACAAATATTTGTTGAAGACCTTGCAAAATGTCAAATTTTCACAGGCATTAGGAGGATTATAGGAAACAAAAACATACCAGATAGAATTAACATTCAGAAAAATGAAGCCATTGACAGAAGTAGAATAGGGTAGGAGCAGCTATGTTACTCATACTGAGAATGTCAGAAGAAAGGCAGGTTTCTAGGTAAAAGCAATTTATTCTAGGCTGAATCCAGTCATGGAATACATGGTAGTTACTATTTTCCATGTTGTTTCTATAAGATCAGTAGTGCTGTGTGTGCCTGATTCCTTTCTCATTTAAGCTGATTTCTTCCCTTTTGTTCTTACTCAGTTCAGCTGAAGATTGTCAATTTGTTGGCCTTTAATTGATTTTTGCTCTAATATTTATTCCTTCTTGTTACTTAAGATTTACTTTGCTTCAGCTGCTTCCTCCTTTTCCTGGGTTCTTCTCTGTTACCCAGGACCTGGTGCAACCTGATGGGCAAATGCTCTGCTACACAGCCACCGCAGACCGCTGCTGTGTTTTGTTATTTTCTGTTGGTTTTTGAGACAGTCTCACTTTGCAGCTCTTCTGGCCTTGAACTTAGTTGTTTGAAGCCAGGTCTTAAGCTGCCCACTGGCCTTAAATCTGTGGTCCTTCTGCCTTAGCTAAGTGCTGGGCATTGGATGGATGCACCGCACACCTGGTTTACTTGTCCTTTTGCTGTTATCTTAAAGTGGGGCTTAGGACTTGCTTTGTCCCTTACACTAAATTTAAACTCTTTCCTGGTGATTCAGCCTTCCTACTGGTGAGATTACAGGCCTGAGCTAATCATACCTAGTATAAAGTCTTTTTTAAAAATAATAATAACAATTCCAGCTGTAAAGTTGCCCTTGAGCACTGTTTAGTTGCATTCTGTAAATCTTGGTGTGCTTTGTTTGCATTTTTTGGTTTGTCCCACTTTATTTTCAAAAACAGCCATGTATTGGTGTCTCCCAGATGCTAATTAAACAACCAGATTCAAAGCTGGGTGTGCTGCACCAGCCTTTAATCCCAGCACTTGGGAGCCAGAGGCAGGTGGATCTGGATCTCCATGAGTCTGAGGCTAGCCTGTTCATATAGCATGATCTTGTCTCTAAAAGAACAGCAGCAGCAGTAGTAATTTAAGTGGCAATAGTAATGATGATGATGATGATGATACAAATCAGATTCAAACCAATATCTATAAACATACTTTTGTGTGGGTTGTGGCTGGATGAGTCTGTCTAACTTAGAACTTCTTCAAAAGAGGTTTGTTATTTTCAGATACTGAGTAGTCAACCTCACCTTTAAAGAAATGTCTATTACGTTTGTTTGTTTATTCATTGTGTTTAAGTTTGTTATACTTCCAACTTCAGGTTCTGAATTTTCTTACTCAAGTTTTGTTCACTTGAAACTGTTGGAGCTAGGTCGTGATTAGTGATCCATTACAGAAACACTCTGCTGATGTGAACAAGGACTCTTAAAGCTATTAAAACTAAAATGAATATCGTTAAAAGGAAATAAGGGTTTCTACTCTAAAGCTTTAGATGAAAAGGTAAATTTCTGTGCCTTTTCTGGGCTCTCTACCTTTTTTCCTTTCCCTGAACTATTTAGAAGCTGTACTTGTAAGGAAATTGGAAAGTTATGTTATCTATGTGTTTTTTAAATGGTGTTGCTTATTGGTAGGTCATGTCTTGCTTTCCTGGGACATGACATTTGACCTTAAAGATATCCCAGGAGAGTAGTAGAAATAGGAAGAAATTATTTAAGTAGTGACATGATACAGAATAGTTAAGGTTTTTATTTGCAAAGTAAAAAGCCCATTCTGTAAGATGTTTTGAAGTACACATTTTTAATAGGAGCATAGTGAGAATAAGCATGGTCCCTTTCCTAGAAGTGAATGAAGTTAATTTTACTTCAGTGGATAAATATCACTGTCACTTCATTAGTGATGCCTTTGACTCTAGAAGACCACAGAAACAGGCTACTTAAGAAATAGTGGCCCTTTAGAGGGAGGAAAGGGAAAGGGAGATATGATATAATTATGTTATAATCTCAAAAATTATACAAAACAAAGTTGAGTGGTTCACAGCTCCAGGTGATCTGAGTTGGCTTCCAAGGACGCAGTTACACATGCACATACACATAAATAAACATACATATTTATATATTATAGACATATAAGCATGTATATATACATAGAGAAAAGAGAGAGCGAGGCTTTCAGAAGTTAAACAATGAGAGAGCTCCATCCCTCCTGAAGTAATCTCATACAGTACTCTGGAAAACCTGAGTTTGTGTTGGCATCCATGCCCTTTGCTCTTGCCCTTGCCACTCTGTTTGCATGAATGGTTTTTCTCCAGTGGACCATGGAGAACAGAGCCTTTTTTATAAGGTGCACCTATTTGACCTAAAATCTTTCCTGACCTTGGACTCCGCTCTTTCATAGAATATACCAGTTTGAGTAACAGGTCTGTCTTTTTTCTTGTAATATTTCCCCTTCTTATGAGCTTGAACTAAAAGTACATTAAGAAAAGGCAGTGTTTTAAAGGATAGTTGATAGTTGTGGTTACAAATACAGTTTTCTCCTACTTGAGCTTCCTTCTCCCTGAGTGGTGAGACTGTAGGCATATGCCTTTGTACCTGGGTTAGAGCAGCTCTGAGACAGGAAAAGAGATGGAGATTAAGTAGGTGCTATACATGAGCAAGAAAAGGTCAGTTACTGCATGTGGTACTTTACAGAGGCTCTTCTCTAAGATGCTCTGAATATATATTTTTGATCAGAAACCAAGTTACTATTAAGTGTCTTGAATTAACTTGAGTTGTCTCTTCATCAACCATCGCTTGGTTGGTTTGTTTTTGTCTTTGTGGAACTAAGCACCACACCTGGGTCTTCTGGATATTAGACAAATATTCTACCAGTGAGCTACAGCCCAAACCCTACTTTTTAATTATTAAGTTCATATCATTCAAAACAGGAAGTTGTGATTTAGTTAATATGGCTTGATTTTTTTGTTACTACTGAAGTTATTCCCAGATAAAAGACATGTTTTGAGGTAACACGTAAACCATAGACTCACTGAGGCTAACCTCTGCTCCAAGCAGGCTTGCTGAGATTTTACATGTAGACTAGGAAGTCACTTTCACCAGGACAGGATAGTCTGGGAAGAGCAATCAGCTCCTTAGCAAAACAGGACACGGGGAGCTGGGACTCAAAGGTGGGTCTCCTTGTCCTTGTTCAGCACCCTTAATAGTCAATAATAATAGTATAATAATTGAGATTCAGTGGTTAAGCATACTGGCTACTCTTCCAGAGGACACAAGCTTCATTCTCCACTCCCACATTGGGCCACTCACAACTGCCTATAACTCCAGTTCCAAGGGATCCAAGCCACCTTCTGGCCTTTTCAGGCACCCCCATACATGTGTGCACATGTGCATACACACACAACACACATATAAATAAAAATAGAATGAATCTTTTTTAAGGGTGAAGAATGATGAGTCAGTGAATAAAAACCTGATATTCTCACTTCAGTCCTAAGGATCCATCCAGTGGAAAGAACCTCTCACCAGCCCTTCCGACCTCCAAACATACACAAAGTAAATGTTCAAAACAACAACAAAACTTTTAGAATTCATATTATTCAAAAGATATTTTACAAAGGCATAATATTTGAGATGATGCTTAAGTCCCATTACCGTATTACTCATACTAATTAGGCTAGTTCTGCACAAATTATATAAATCTGGGTTGGATACTTTGAATATAAGTTGTAAGTGAAAATAGAATTATTGGGCTGGAGAGATGGCTCAGCAGTTAAGAGCACTGACTGCTTTTCCAGAGGTCCTGAGTTCAATTCCCAGCAACCACATGGTGGCTCACAACCATCTGTAAAGGGATCTGAGGACAGTGACACTGTACTCACATATATAAAATAAATAAATCTTAAAAAAAAGAAAAGAAAATAGAATTGTTAAGTCTAAAAAATTAACCTATAACAAATGAGATATGATTTAGATATGGGAAAGGAAGACCAGCCAGCTCGGTCAGTGGTTCTCAACCTGTGGGTCATGACCCCTTTGGGGGTCAAACATCTTTTTTCACAGGGGTCACATACCAGATATTTATATTACAATTCATAACAATAGCAAAACTACAGCTATGGACATACCAACAAAATAATGTTTTGGCTAGGGGTCAGCACCACACGAGGAACTCTGTTAAAGGGTCACAGCATTCGGAAGGTTGAGGACCACTGAGTGAAATTATGTAGATTTTTTTAAAATTTTATTTATGTGTATGAGTACACTGTCACTCTCTTCAGACACACCACAAGAGGGCATCGGATCCCATTACAGATGGTTGTGAGCCACCATATGAGTGATGGGAATTGAACTCAGGATCTCTGGAAGGACAGTCAGTGCTCTTAACTGCTGAGACATCTCTCCAGCCCTGGTTATGTAGATTTTTTAAAACTCTTCAGAGGTCTGGAAGAGTGAGGCTTGAAGGTTCCTAGTATAAATGATGCTGGGATGAGAGTGCTCGGTGCCCTCTTTGGCTCATGGCAGCTGATGGTAGATGTATTGGGAGATTACTAGATATAAGGCACAATTACAATTGTGTAGATGGAAAATACAGATACCCATAGAAAAGTAAGTGTCTGATAGTAAATGTGACGGTTGTAGCCTGAGAAACCACAAAAACATTTCACTAGAACAAAACATTAACATTGTTGATGCTGCTTTGGATAGTGTATAATCTTAGAAAGTAAAGCTGCTAGGCACGATGCCACACGCGCTTAAGCTCAAATCTCCAGAGTTAGTGGCTAGTGGATCTGAGTTTGAGGCCAAACTAGTCTACATAGCAAGTACCAGGTGAGCCAGGACTATGTAATAAGACCCTGTCTCAAAACAAAAAAGAGAAAAAACTTTTATATGTAGGATTTCTTTAACTTAGAATGCTTTATCTTATTAGTAATAAAAGAAAATATATAATTATACATCATTAAAAGTAAGTTAATGAAAAATTACAGGTAAACTTTATCTGTACATGTATACATATGTCAGACTTATCAAAAGAGGACACAGTTATGCTCTTGGATCTTATTTTCTCAGTGATACAGTGATTCAGTTTCAAAGCATGAATTGATACCTTAGATCTAAGATAGGTGATCTAACTCATAACCACAAGATGTTCCTGATACTGTTTTCATGTAAAAAATTTAAAATATGCTGTAAAATAGCACTTTATTATGCAGGCTAGATATGTGTTTTTAAACTTTGAACTTAGTTTACATTCATTTTGAGGGAACATTTTTAATCAGTTTTGTTCTGATTTGAATCTGTGTTCATGTTTGTCTTTATTTTTATTGTATTTTAATTACATTTCGACCTTCCCTTTCCTTTCTCCAAACCTTTGTAAGTTTTTTTAATAGGTTTTTTTTTTCTCTTCTTTACAGTGTTCATAATGCTTCAGCCCAGAACAGTGACTCCCAACAGGTAAGACAGGAGTAAGTCTTTAAAGTCCACGTGGTTAATTACAGTGACTGTCATGGTATTAGTTGGATTTTTGTAATGTGTGATCTTTTACAAGTTTTGTACATTTTCTTACCCCCGTCACGTCTCCTGTTTTACTAAGACAATATAAGTAGAACAGATGATTCATAAAACATTTTCTGTTCCTATAAATCTGGCACATCAGTTAAGTTGTGAATGTTCATTTATTATCTAAAATTAGTGTATAAAATTTAAATTCAAACATTTGACTGCCAGGCTGAGTGTCTGCCTCTGTGCCTGGGGTACCCGGAGTGCTGGTAGGCAGAACACAGTCTGTAATGGGGTCTTCAGTCCCTGCTCTCCTGGGTGGGAACCAGCAGGGTCTGGGATGATTGCTGTGGCTCCCATTGTCTTGCATACCTAGGTGCCACTGGCTTAGTGCTGAGAGTTGGAAAAGGGGTTTCCAGTCAGCTTCCTCTCAGGGTGTCCACACACCAGGCTAGAAGGGGAAGGCACAGCCCAGACAGGGTCAGACCCTGATTCCCTTCTGAGTGTGTAAGAGTGAGTGCTGAGAGTATGGAGGGGCTGGAAGAGAGAAAGCCTCCTCTAGGAGATTAACTCCTCCTTATGAGGAAGGCCTACTCCCTGGGATCTTGAGGAAAGAGCCTGTTAAAACTGCATCATTTGTTGGTGAATGTGAATGCATACACTTTATTCAGGGTGAACCAAGGATTAAATACCTTTTGGGGGAAGGAATGCCCAGGAAGGGAAGCTCCTTGGCTGAACACTCAGGGCCTCTCTAGATGCCTCATTAGCATGGAGAACTCCAAGTTTTATGCTGGTAGAGGTAGGTGAGTGTGGAGGCTTAGAATCCACACACACACACTCCCACTCTCTCCCCCTACTCCCACCCTCCCCCACCCACGCAAGATCCAAGAAGGAGAAAGCCTAACAAGGGAGTCTCCCATTTTGTAACAAGCACAGAGGCTGTCCAGTCATGGTAGACTTCGATCTTAATTAGCAGAGTTTCCCCACATTTGACCACATTTATTTACTATATAGGTGGCACTCCATCTTAATACTGTTTCTTGATGTTGGTATTACTATTTGTTAGTATTTGACTTTCCTCATGCTTCTATCCAAAGGCTTGGGGTGTGAGGACTCCTGTGCCTGTCACTTCTTCCTCATCCTCTGGTCCTGTGCTGGTGGAGGTAGAGAATCTCCCACAGAAATCTGCAGCAGACCAACATGACAGGAAATGGTTTGTTAACTTTCTAAACCAAAATATTGCTTGCATAATTGTATTCTAAAATTTAAGCTATAATCTTAAAGCACTTTAAGTATGATTGAAAACAAATTATTCATATTTGTGAGCTGACAAGGAGCATACTGAGCAGTCAGAGGGACGGTGAGCATACAGTTTATGGATGAAGGAGGGAGGACAACTGTCTAAAGCAGAGCATAACCCAGCTGGCTTGAGGGACTGATGAAAGTCTTTGAAAAATTAGTTTGAGAAGCTGGAGAAATAATCCAGTGAAAGTAGAAATATTTATATAAATGGTAGACACACAAATATGGATACTTTGTGGCTTATTTGATTTAATCAGTTGGGTTCATGCTTTCCTAGAAAGCAGTGTGGCTTGGTGAGGGGTACCTTAGAAATTATTTGGGCTGAGTGGTCCTATTGGATGTATCATCTATTCAAGCTCTGTGTCTGTTTATTTAATGCACTTGGATGATTCATGAGATTCTTCTCTTTTTCTCTTGCTCTTAATTTGTTAATATCTGAAATCTAATGAGATTCTGTGGTGATCTCAAGGTTTGGGTCAGCTTTTTGTGCAGCCAGTTCTTCCCACATGGTGGTGGGTCAGCAGTAGTTGGTGATTGTTTCTGGTCTGTGCTATGTACTCTTTCACTGGTATTGTTGGCTTAACTAACTACAGGATACTGTGCTTGTGATGGTTGGGTATATGTTATTTCAGTTCCAGGTAACTTGCAGTTAAGATCAAAGAGGATTTCCTTCCTTGTTTGGTCCTTTTTAAAATTTCCTTCCCTTTTTGTCCTTTTGGGAATCTGGTACAGGGTACTTTAGGTATGCATTCACATACGCATACCAAAGGTGAGGTCTACAAATGTCAAGTTATAGTATTTATTTAAGACATTAAAAATTTAAATTTCTTGCTGAAGATAAGGGCCATGGCAAGCAGTTATGTTCCATAATGTGCCACTGAAGCCCATTGACACACAAAAATAGTCACTAGTCTTTAGCTGTATGCATGCATGCATGTCTTACTTCAATTCCAAGTGAGAATCTGATTAGTTAACATCCTGTGTTATGATGCTGTCTTTATTTAATTCCATTTTAATGAGTACATATTTAAATCTGTTTAATTTTATTTGCTAGGCACTACCAGTTTCTTTGATGTAGCCTTTAGAGAGAATATTGAATTTGAGATTCAAGAAAACTGAAATATATCTTGGAGCTGTGTGTCCTCTCCTTTTATAATGGTTGTGCCAAGACCTCCTTTGCTGAAATGGAGTAGAGATGGCCCTAAAAACCTGATGAGCCTCAGAGTACGTTAGCAGAGCATGGAACTGAACTACAGCTGACATGTCGTAGAGCTACTGATTCTCTTAGCCTTAATTTAGAGTGCCTTCTGCCTCTTTCTTTGTTTCTGCATGCTTAGATTTCAGAGAATATAAAACGGTCCTCCTGTAGAAAGTACGAATAAAATTTGGAAACTGATTGCTGCATTGAGCAGCACAGGGTATGGAACATCTTTCTGGCAGATAATTTGGAGCCAATTTAATTTAAACTTTTTTCCTGTTCCAGTCTTCAGCTTTTTTTTCCTGACATCCTAAATGAAACCATTAACCAGGTGAATGATGTGATGTGTCAGTAACTTAGAATTTGTACTTCACATCACTTGGAATCCACAGTGTTTATTTACAAGAAGCCAGCGGACAGTGGTATGTGTTTGAGAGTAGGCCTGGAACTTGAGTCCAGCCTGAGCAACAATGTAAGAGCTTATCTCAAAACAAAATAAAGCATGCCTGTAATCCAGTGCTTGGGAAGAATCAGGTACTTGGGTGGATCATGATTCCAGGCCCAACTCTACCAAAAGACAAAAAGAAATAGAACGGACAAAATCTTGTATTGATAAACCAGAGCATAAGCCTAATTTAATTTCTAAATTTTTAGAGACTCTAAATCAAGGGTCATGAATTTGTCTTGTTAGGTCTGATAAGCAAGGTGAATTTTAATGGGAATAAAATTATGGTAGCACTTACTACAACATGCCTTCCTCATTTGTTCTTGAAAAGTCCTGAGGAGAAAAAATTAAAAGTTAATATTCTATTGAGTTTGAAAAATACTACTACTATTTTTTTTAAATCTAGGTTTTTGGATGCCTTTTATATTTAGAATGATCTTTTTCCCTTTGTGATTATGTAACATGTGCTGCCCTGTCGCATCATAAAAGTATGCTTTTGAGCTGGGGCAGGTGTTCTCTTTCTACTGGAGGACTCCGGTCGCTCCACCCAGACCTGCATGTGTGCATGTGGATGCATGTCTGCCATCTAGTTCTCCCGTGCTTGGGACTCCTCCTGTTTGTATCTCTGTCTGTTGCCCTTCAGTTTGTGTTCCTATGAATTTTGATTACAGAAGGTACAATGATTATTGTTAATTTAGTCTATGCCTGTAACTCCCAGTCTCATCTGACATTTAATTTGGAGCACTGATATAAACATGCTTGATGTCTAAGGGCAGTTTTCTTTAATGCTCCCAAATTTTGTTTCCTGAATTATACCTTTTTAAAATTGTGTAATTTTGGAGATTATTTTTATAATTCTTCTTTTTACATTATGTTTTTGTTCTTCAGTAGAATATTTTCAAATATTTGAATAAAGCTCTACTTAGAACCAACATTTCTACCTTGGAGTTCCCCAAAAACATCAGGAATAGATAACAGTATTTTACCTTCTGTGACTTTGTTACATCAATTAATCACTTAACTCATACTGCCTTCCTGTGTTTCCATTACATGCACCATGTAACTTTATGGATTTCCTCCTCTGCTGTTCTTGAATGTCATCACCACAGTGGCGCATGCTGATCACATTACCTGTCTCCTTTACACCTCCGTGTTCTCTATTCCTGTTGACTAACTGTACTCCCCACTCCCCAACCATCTAGGCTCTCTGCTACCAGTGACCGCTGCCAACGTGGTGGAAACCAGTGGAACCCAAGGGCCTTGCCCCCACCCCAGACTGCATATAGAAACTACACTGACTTTGTCCATGAGCACAATGTGAAGAATGCAGGAGCCCATCATGATGCTCATTTATCTGGCCGTGCAGCCATGACTGAGATATGAGTTGTTACAACTTTTAGGCCATGGAATTCTGCATCTAGGTTGATAATGTATGTTGTGGCATTTATATAGAGGACTGATTTCATTAGGAATATTGGAGAGAATTTGTTCCATACTTAGTCACTAGTTACACAATGCTATGATTGACTTCTGTCTGCTGTGGAAGGGAAGAGGATCTGAAGAAGCCGTGAGCTGTTAACTAACATGGCAGATGTTGCTGTGTTGGAAGGGTGTGCATACCACTGTGTCCTTGGGAAGGGTTTTCATAATGTTAGCATTTAACACATCACTCAAAACATCTCTCAGGAGTTTTGTGTTTATGACAAACTGTCAGTTGTCACCTACATGCCATCTAAGTAAGACTGTGTTACAAAGGATAAGACACAAAATGTATACCCAAAAGGAACCATGTTGAGTCATGGTGCTTTTTGTGGTGCTGTAGTAATACTGCTGTCATATGCTACCTTCTAAAGTGACCCATGCCTTCATTTCAGCTAAGTGCCTGCAATTTAATAAAAATTTATGATACTTTTTTAATAAACCTATTTTATTACCACAGGTGTAGAAAATGCAATAACAATATAATTCATGTAAGATAAGTCTCAGTGATTTCTTTGGGTGGTTAATTTACAGTTGACATGAATGGTTACATTACTAGCAGGTGGTTATACCGAATGCAAGGTGGAAAGCTTTCTTTGTTATTCTTTTCTCATTGAAATCCTTGACAGATCACTCAGGTTTGTAACACCCTCATAATCTGTCCCATACAACCTTTAAAATACAATTCTGAAGTCAAAGTGTTACCATTTTCAGATAGATTGCCTGTATTTTACACTTTTAATCCTTTTTGAACTTTGCAATGTAGTTAATTCGAGCTCTTTGTTTAATTCACTGAAGGCAAATCAGCTGGAAAAGTACATGATGATTGAGACACTAAGAAGAGATACAGTATTTCTTCATTTACAGTTATTTTTAATTTTAGAAAAATTTCTGATCTTTAAGCTGTATAAGGAGAAATGAGCAGTTATATTCAGAACTGTTTATGCTCTGAAATAATAAAGCTTTGTTATATTTAACCTTAACTCAGAGGTTGGCTTCATCCTATAGGTTCTCTGCTGGGCAGTGAAGACCTGAGGGCTTTGACAGAAGGCTGCTATTGCAGATATAATAGGGCTTATCACTAGAAGACAGGCAGGTAACCAAAAACATTTAGAGCTTGAAATTCATAGGCCAGTCTTGATCTAATTTTTTTTTTATTATATAAAAGAATCATTGCTTAAATGTACTGTAGATGTAGGATGGCTACTCAAAATATTAGTATATCCTACATAAGTACAGATACATATCTTAAATAGCCTGATCTTCAAGACTATCACCATCTAGAGTGCTTTAAAAACAGCACTAATATGTGACACCCTCTGAGGGGTTTTTGTTTTGTTTTGTTTTGTTTTGTTTATAGCTCAGATTATGACAGTATTCTCTATGGTGTTTTCTTCCCTTTTTATTTTTAAGACTTGTTTATTCTTGTTTACTTTATGTGAATGGAGATTTGCCTGAATTTATGTCTCTGTATCTGTGTACCCATTAGTATGTTGCCTCCAGAGGCCAGAAGAGAGTATTGGATCCCCTGAAACTGGAGTTGTGGGTGGTTGTTGGCTGCCATGTAAATGTAGGGAATTGAACCTGCGTCCTCTGGAAGAGAACCATTGCTTGTAATGCTGAACTTAGATCATAACATTTTAAACACAGAAGCTCTGCTTTGTGCCATAAAAATATTAGTCGGTATGAATATAATTAAAGGCACTAGTATTTCTGTAATACAAATGGGTCAGAATGAATAAAAGGCTTTCCTGGTCTTGTGGAAAGTCTCAAGACTTAACTTTATCACATTAACTTTAATCCTGAAGTCTGAGATCTGGCACTGATAAATGACCGCCTCCTGTATATCTTAGCAAATGGTAATCTTAGGAGGCTTGAAACCGAGAAGTAATATCTTTAGTTTATATTGGAAATGATAATTTTTATTAGGATTTGGAATATCCAATAGTGTTCAATTTGAATGGTTCAGAATCACATCATGGATTTTTCTTTCTTTGAAACTTAGTGATAAAATAATTTATTCATAAAATTTCAAAGGGAAAAACTAGGTTGGAAGTTAGAGACAGTAAAGGACAGGGCAGTAGAATCATGTCTCCCAAGTGTCCTGTGTGCTTTAGGATGTCATATCAATACATTGAGCATCCCTGTCTAAAATTGTAAGCCTCCTGATAACTGATATAACAGTTTCACACCTAACCTCATTTGTTACAGGTTGCACTTAAAGGCAGCAGTGGGCAAACCCAAGGTATTATATCTGTTTAACCATTGGGCCACATGCATGAAAAACACACGACTCAAGTTCCACCTCACAAATACTTAATCTTTGTGTGTATGCATTCACAAATATTTGAAAATCTAAACTGAAGTGGAATACATTTCTAATTCCAAGTATTTGGGATAAGGGGTCTCCAGCCTGTACTATAAATATTTGCTCTTGTGACTGCTAGTCTCAAGATGGCAATCCATTTTTCTGGAGCAGTGAGGGATTTACAAGTAGTTTAGCCTCAATAAATAAGTTGTCCCTGATATATTTCTGCTGTCATCTTACTATGTTCAATGATCAGAGCCTAGGCTTGAAGGCAGAGAATGAGATGATTCAGTAAGTATAAGTCACTTACCACCAAACCTGGTGACCTGAGTTTGATCCCTAGAGAGACTGATCCTGCAATGCACATGTTAGAAAGTAAGGACTACCCCAAGTTGCCCTCTAACAACTGTGTGTGCACACATACAAATAAAATAATTTTTAAAAATTAACAGATTTTGAAGTTAACATGCACATAGAAGGCTCACTCAAACTTGGGGGTTTGAAGTCAACCTTAGCCAGATAGGGAGACCCCTGTCTCAGTGAAAAAATAAAAAATCTAGCCTGGAGGAATACTTCTTCCATAAGCACCCTACTGTGGCACAGAACTCCATGTTTATGTACTGAGCAGTGTTTTGGCTACTTTGATTGAATATAATTGTAACATTTTAATTAGATTGGTTGTGTTCTGTTGTGTTCTTATAAACAGGATGGTTTAGAGAGACAGAAAATCCAGTGACCTTCAGAATCTGGTAATCATTGTTTTTATGGTTAAAAACCATTTCTGCTGGCTGGGCAGTGGTGGTCCACACTTTTAATCCCAGCACTTGGGAGGCAGAGGCAGGTGGAACTCTGAATTCAAGGCCAGCCTGATATACAGAGTGAGTTCCAGGACAGCCAAGACTATACAGAGAAAACCTGTCTCAAGGGGGAAAAAACAATCTGCTGGACATGGCAGTTGATACATAGAAGAGGGTGAGGTAGCAAGATTGTCATGAGTGGTAGACCCTCTGAAAAACAAAATTCATAGGGTTTTTTTAAAAATACCCCACCTTTAAGTATGATCTAATTTTTCTGATTTTGAAATGGTAATCAAATGCACATTTCAAATGAAGTTACAGAAAAAAATCTTTCATTCCATCCTATGCCTGTTTTTTTTTAAATTTGAAGATTATAAAGTATTGGTTTGTTATAGAAGAAATTCAAGCATAACCAGATAAATTCTTTCCTGTATGCTACCAATTCCAAACAGGAATCATTAAATGTTTTATATCATGAAGAATGCCAAAAGAAAGAACACAGAAGAATGGTTCTCAGGTCCCCTGTAGTCAGCACAAAGGGTTTGATGAGGTCAGAGTGCTGTCAGGCACTAGGGCTGCTAGACATAGAGGATAAACTAATAGGCTTGATTTTTATAGCAGCTAACGTACAGTTTCATGTCCTATCAGCTTAATTCAGATAGTGAATTGAGAGTGTTGGCACATGCCTGTAATAGCAGTACTTAGGCAGGAGCGAAAGCATAAGGCCAGCTTAGTTATATAGCAAAAATAAAACCAAACAAAATCTTTTTGCAGGGAAGTGACCTACAGACATACACCCCTAACATGCACACATACAGTAAAATACTGGGTCAGCCACACAAAGTTGAACGTAAGTAGCATTAATTGGTAGCATTACCTGGGATGTAAAAGTTACTGTGTAAATATAACAGGATATAAAAACGACATTTTATCTAGAACATAATATAATGATATTCTAACTAAAAGATTGTTTTTTAGGGTACTATAGTTCATTTCCATGTCCTCTCCCAGTGCTGGGTATAGAACCTCAAGCTTTGCTCTGTCACTCAGCCACATCCCTAGCTTGTTTGGTTTGGTTTGTTTTTTTTTTTTTGTTTTGTTTTGGGGTTTTTTTGTTGTTGTTTTCATTACTGCACATGTGGTGATGGTTTTGATTTGTTAATGTTGGTAGGTTTTTTTATGTCCCTAAGTAAATAATTTTATCTTTCCACTTTACAAATCAGTAGCTGGGGGAGGTTGAGAGGGGAATCCTGAGTCTTGACTTCCAAGAGAAGGAAAGATGGGCACTTAATGTGAAGGAGGTCAGCTTCCCTGCAGGGGACCCATCCTTCAGCTTTGGTTTGGCACCTTTCCCCCATTGTATTCATAAGTGTGAAGCAAAGAGGCTGGGAAGGGTTCTGAATTATCCAGCACTGATGGGCGAAGCCATGAATAAGCAGAGGGAACATTCTGACCTTTAAGTCAGTAAGCTCTTCTTTTCTAACCCATTCTCAGTTACTTAGTTTTTTAGACATTAGGTTTGAAAATAATACTACATTGGATAAATTCATTTTTATTTTTGAGATTAGAGCTTAGGGATTTGCAAAAATGTTGGTTTCAGTAACTCTTAGTGTCTCTTACACTGTAGTTGTGTTTATCATTGTTTGTGCACGGCATTGGGATGTGGCAGTCAGAACACTTGGAGAGTTATTTCTGTCCTACCCTTATGTGGTTTCTAGAATTAACCTCAGGTTACTAGCCTTGGAAGGCAAGTTCCTTTACCCTACTTAGCCATCTTGTCAGTACTTCATGCATTTTAATATAAATTGTACCACAGCATTAATTATATCTTATGTCCAGAATTGTTATGAGCACTCCCATGTAAAATGCTTTGATTTTAAAGCATGAAACATTAATCTTTGGAACATGAGTCTCCATGTTATAGAAATTATGACATTATGGCCAGAAAGATAGGCAGGTTAAAGGTTCTAGCCACCAACCTAGTGACCTGAGTTTGATCCCTGGGAACAGCTCATCCAGGTTGTCCTCAGACACCACACACACATGTACACAGATTAATTTCAAAAAGAAATGAGCACATGAAGCCCATCACTTTCTATGTAAAATATGATGAACTTCATTTTTTTCATTAATTCTTGTTTATTGCTAATTAGTACTTGTCCTTTGAGCAGTTTGGGATAGTGAAACAGAACTTGTAAAGACAAAAGGAAACTTAAGATTGAAAACCATTATGTGACTTTATTACTGAGAATTTAGAACACATGTACCTGTTCCACTGAAGGAATTGTTCTTATGGTTTTTTTAACGAGTTTCCTATGGTTGTGTTCCCAAAACGCTGCTAGCTGTGGCCTCAGTTGGAGGTGGCAGAGGTGGAGTGAACTTTTTACAGTGTGTTCCTGACAACTAGCCAGCATTGTGTTTATATTGGCAGGGAAAAGATAACCTGACCTGGAGAGCAGCATTCTCTAAGGATTGGGACCGAAGACTACTTATGTGTGCCATGGTGAATTTGTACCTCGCCTTTAAAACTAGGCTCAACAGCTATAACTCTGTTTGTTGTTGTCATTGTCATTGTTGTTGGAGAAAAAAAAAACCTTATTAACTCATTCTACTAAAGAAAAATGTAGATGCATCAATTTGTGGCTAGAATTTGCAGCAACTTGCATATTCTTTAATAATATCTTGCTACAGATGCCTAATCTTTGTTAATAAAATAAGGATTAATAGTATGAAGGGGATTGCTGGCTTGCCTCATAGTGTGGTTTTCTTGAGAGAGATCATCCAAAGAACCCCAAAGTGTTATGGGCCATTTTTACCTAAGGGGTCTACTTGTAGTCCAGCCAGGGCTTCATATGTAATTGTAGACTCTAGGAGTTTG